TTTGGAAATAGAGACTCTTCTGTTATGTTAATTATTAGGTCAGAAACCAAAAAAAAAAAAAAAAGATCAAACCCACTGCCATTGAGTTGATTCCGATTCGCAGGGACCCTACAGGACAGAGTAGGACTGTCCCGTAGGGTTTCCAAGGCTGTCAAGTCTTTACGGATGCAGGCTGCCTCATCTTTCTCCTGCAGAGTGTGGTTAGCAGCTGAATGCTTTAACCACTGCACCACCAGAGCTTCCATAAAGATTCAAAAAGAAAAAAAAAACCTCACTCCCATCTAGTCAGTTTGGACTCATAGGAACCCTCATTGGGTTTTCAAGACTGTGTATCTTTACAGAAGCAAACTGTCCCCATCTTTCTCTCATGGAGCATCTGGGGGTTACAGCCTTGGAAACCCTATGGGGCAGTGCTACTCTGTCCTCTAGGGACGCTGTAAATCAGAATCGACTTGACGCCAATAGGTTTATTATCATCTCCATTTTATAGATGTGGAAACTGAGGCTCAGAGAAGTCAAACAACCCACTCACAAGTGTGGCACTAGAAGAGGAACATCAGTCTATCCTGACTTCAGAGTCCTCGCTCTTAGCTGAGCAGAGGCCTTTGGAACCTGAGAGGGCTGGTAGTCTTCCTGAGAGGAAGAACACCCTCCCCGGAGCTGCTCCCAGATCCAGCGTGGGCCAGTGCCTGGGGCGGGGTGGCCCTGAGCCGGCCATGCTCCCTGGGCCTGGCTTCTCCCTCTGTGGTGGCATGAGCTGGAAAGAAGTGAGAGATGCCAGTGCTGAGCCCCGGGCATCGCTGTGGTGGTAGTATTTCTGTGGCTAAGAGTCAACCCCTTGACACACGGCAAGGGTGTTGAGGGTCACATTACGTATTTTATGTAGTATGATCATCTACGGCTGAGGTAAACGTTTCTGCCTTGTGGCCTTCTGAGATGGAATCTGTGGAAAGTGAAAAACGGAATGAATGCATGTGGCTGTCACCCCCGGAGAGGAGTAGAGATGTGAACATCACCACACTCGGCTTGTTGAAGAGGCAAAGCAGGAAACGGTGGCTCGTCATGGTTGCCGTGGACCCCTCCCCCACTTCCTCTGCCAGAGCCAGAGTGGAGTGGAAGGCCGCAGATCACAGGGGAGGGCCCCGAGGGGAAGGACTGCACTTTGTGAAGAAAATAGGTCTTCCACAAGAAGCGTTGGCAAAGATATAGAGAAACTGGAGTCCTTATACACTGCTGGTGGGAATTTAAAAGACTACAACCTCTTTGGAAAACAGTTTGGCACGTTGTTGGGTGCTGTAGGGTCAATTCCGACTCATGTGACCCTGTGTGACAGAGTAGAACTGTCTCATAGGGTGTTTTTGGCTGTAATCTCTATGGCAGCAGGTTGCCAGATCTCTCTCCTGGTCAGCTGCTGGATGGCTCTCCTTTCAGTTGGCAGCCAAGCACTTAAATGTTGTGCCACCAGGGTCCTTAGCGTTACCATGTGACCCAGCAATTCCACTCCTAGGTATATACCCAAGAGATGTGAAAACACACTGCCACACAGAAACTTGTGTGTGACTGTCTAGAGCAGCAGCATTCCAAATAGCCCAAGAGTGGAAACAACCCAAATGTCCATCGGCTGATGAGCAGATCCATACATTAGCAAACTCTGAGTGGTGCAAGCACTCAGCTACTAACGAAAAGTTGGTGGTTCAAACCCACTCAGAGGCACCTTGGAAGAAAGGCCGGGTGATCAGCTTCTGAAAGGTCAGAGCCTTGAAAACCCGCCTGAAGCCCAGTTCTGCATGGCAACACATGGGGCTGCCCTGGCTCAGAGCTGACGCGATGACAGCTGGTTGGTGTCCATGCCACAGAATGCTATTTGGCAATGAAAAGAAATGAAGTACTGATACATGCTATGGTATGGATGGGCCTCAGATGTACCACACTAAGTGAAAGAAGCCCGTTCCCAAAACAACACATATTGTGCGATGTCATGTATATGAAATGTCCAGAATGGGCCAATGTCTACAGACAGAAAGGAGAGTTGAGGTTGCCTGGGCTGGGGAGTGACTGCTGTTGCATCCAAGGTTTCTTTTTGGAGTGATGACATTTGTCTGGAGTTAAATAGGTGGTGGTCACATAACTTGATGATCAGGCAGTGCCTGATCACAAACAAGTCCATTCCTAACTCTGTCTTTAAGTCAAATGTGTACGTTACTTGGAATAGTTAGGTTCATATCTAAGGTCAGTCAGTCAAATGTTTGTCTGAGTATATAGTGTACCTTTCTATGCATAAAACATATTAAAGAAACACTTCCAGAGACACTAAAACATCTTTAACATAATAATACAGTGAATAATAATAATGTTTGGATGTGTGTCAAAACATTGGCTTTGTTACTACGAATCAATGTATGTATCTCAAATTTTTTTAATATAATAGGCTTTACCAGGGTTGGTTCAGAACTACAGGTTGTATGAAAGTTGAACGTTTGTCATCTGGGTATTGCCTGTATACCAAAAACACTGAAATGTATACACTCTTTTTTTTTTACCTCACTGATTCTTATTTTTTATTTTTGCAGTGTTCCCTCCCCTCCCTTCCCTGAAATGTACACTCTTAAAGCATGAATTGGAGTATGTGAATGATACCTCAATTTTTTTTAATTAAAAAAAAAATTAAAGTCTTGCATTTAAAACCGCATATTCCAGGAGAAGCATCTGTCGGAGCTCTGAGTAGGAAGTGTGTCCAGTCTGCCAGGTTGGCCATTGGCTTCCTGGACCTTAAAAACCCACTTGTTGAGTTGATCTCAACTCATGAGAATACAGCTGGATCCGTAGGGTTTTCAGTGCTGATTTTTGGGAAGTGAAGCACCAGGCCTTCTGAAGTGCCTCTGGGTGGACTCGTACCTCCGACCATTCGGTCAGCGGCCAAGGTACCGACCATTTACACCACTCAGGGAGTCCCTCACAGAGCTGACAGTTGGAAGCATCTGGAAGAGCTGCATGAGGAAGGAGTTACCCGGCCGCAGTCCTCTTCCTAACAGGAGAGGGCACCATCTCTGAGTTCTGCTGGGATGGAAACGGAAGACAAGTTCAGGGAAGTATTTCCAAGTGTGTAAACTAGAGCAGGGATTGTCTTCTGGACGAAAGCAATGAACCCTGCATATGTGACATGAGGCAGCCAGAAACAATTTTAGGACTCCCAGCATGGCCTCTCATGGGGTGAGCTGTCACCTGCCTACATCACTTCCTGTGAGTCCTCTGGGAAGAGCACTGAATTGAGAGTGAGGAATCCGGGGTTGAAGTCCACCTTGGCAGTTCGCTTGCTGTGAGGGAAAAGCAACCACAAACAGTTGTCGTCCGGTCGTCTCCGACTCACGGTGACCCCATGTGGTCGGCGTAGAACCATGCACCATGGGGTTTCCAGTGGCTAATTTTTCAGAAGTTGATCCCAGGCACTTTCTTCCGAGGCACAACTTGAACCTCCAGCCTTGCAGGCAGCAGCCGAGTGCTTCATGTTTGCACCACCCACGAGCCTAAATCCTTTGAGCCTCAGTTTCCTTATTTGTAAAATGAGAACAGCGCACTTGGTAGGATTGTGATGGATTGATAGTGATGTGAATATGGGCACAGGACCTCTTCCCAGGTAGCTGTGGCCCACAGAACCACCATTTCTGAGACAGTCCTCTCCTCTGTTTGTTAAGAGAACGTTTTGTTGGAGAACTGCCCTCCTGGAGTCCTCAGTGGTTCCTCTGAGTGCAGGGTCTCCTCGTTAATCCTATCATTGTGGCGGCTGAGCCTTCCCCGACGGTGTCTTCCCAGTTCGAGGCTGCAGAGCCAGCTGGTCGCTTACCTCTCTCCTTTTCTGTCCACCAGGGCCTCTGACCCATGTGGGCCCGCACTTCTGCTCCTGTGCCCGTTGCCCAGGCAGCTCTGCTTGCTGGCGTCGTCTGGGGCAGTGCCACAGCCGTATCTCCGATGCCCTGATGCCTCGGGACTGGCATCCCCTCCCAGGGAGAGAAACCCCAAGCCTCCTCACTTTCTACAGGTCCTGACACACGGGGGGCTGGAGCCTCAGAGCACACATTTCCACCTGATTGACGGTGAGGTGTCACTTCCTTAAGCCCACGAGGAAAGGTTTTCCGCAGAGTGGCCGCTGCCTGGAGTTTGGCAGGCAGGGCCCTTTTTGACAGGGACCCGCCAGCCAGGGCGCCCCAGCTGCACAGAGAGGTGCTTCTTGTCTTCCTTACTTGAGAACTGCTTCTTTTAGGGGTCTCTAATTTCTTTTCTCCTCATAGATGCCCTCCCTCAGGAGCTTTGTGGCCACTCGCTTCCTTCCGTGGCCCACACCGTGGCCGAGGGCTTCAGATGTTTCACCTGCGTGACTTCCCCGAGTTTAGTGGCAACGAGTGGCTGTAACTCCCTCTGTGCACAGTCCTCGATCCTCTGTTGGGCCTCTCAGGCACTTTGTGGGTGGCCTGTGGCTGCACGCCCATGGTGTCCCACACAGTATCTGGCCATGTTTTCCTCCTCCACAAAGCCACCAGTGGCAGCCATTGGCCTACCTGACGAGGCCCCTGTCCAGGCTGAAGGAGCAGGCTGAAGATGTTATTCTGTTCTTCGGTGGGGCTGGGTTATATGCAAAGGAGGAGCGGGGTCCCCACCCACCCCCACCTCTGAGCTCCCCAACTCATCTGGACCCTAGAGGAGCTCCGCCATCCCCAGAGCCTCACAGATCTCCTGGGGGAGGCCCTTCCACTTGGGACGTCATACCCCGAACCCAGGAGCAGAGCCCGCCCCCCCTCCTCCTCAGCCTCCTCCTCTTCCTTACCCCTCCCCCATCAAGTTCCCCTCCAGTCCCTAAGTGGAAAAACACCATCTCTTATAAGTGTGAGGAGCAGCGAACAGATACTGGGGCTGTGTCTAGAACCAAAACTGCTCTGTTACCTAGTACGTCCCCCAAATATTAGAGAGTATGTCCCAGAGAAGCTCTAGTACCTAGTACACCCCCCCAAATGGCTATCACTTTCTAGGCCTCATCAAGGAAGGGCTGCCCTCTTTAACCCTTTCCTCCAACACTGAGCTTTCCCATCCTTCTAGTACCAAATTATGCCATGTTTTCATATCAGTTTAAAACTCACGAGGATTGTTGAGAAAAACCCAGTCTGCACAGGTTACTAAGTGGGACACTCTGAACAGGAAACATTTACCCTTAAAACTTGACAGTCTGCACGGTAAGCTAAGGGGTATGTGAGAAATGGGGATGAGGAGCAGGAGGGAATGTGTGTCCTGGGGCGAGGCTCAGGGTTTCAGAAGAGAGTAGCTGCTTCGGATTGTGGTGTGGGCAGACTTTGTAGTAACAATGGCATTTGAACTGAGCCTCAAAGCATCTCTCTGGCTTAAAATAAAAAGATGGGACATTCTAGGTGGAGGAAAACAGCAAAAGCAGGAATCAGCATTAGGACAGTGAGGGGGAAAGGATAGGCGCCCAGTTCGGCCAGGGTAAGACATGTGCTCTTATTTTTATTCGAAGTGAAGCACCTCCCTCCAAAGTCTTTACGTTTCTCAGTGGAGTGTAATGTTGGTGTTGGGTTTAAAATACTACTCACATTAAATGAGGATCCTTCCTCATAGGCTTCTTATCGAATAGGTGTTACCTTTTTTTTTTTTTTTTTTGATGACTTCCTCGCCGTCACTGACAGGATCGTGTGTTTCCCTGGCCTGTGTGGTGGGCACCATACATTATCCCCTGAGGTTCCTTGTCTCTGAAGTGGAGTTAGCAGTCGGACCTACGTGCTTTGTGGGCTAGTTGTGAGGCATGGAGAAGACGTTGGGTGTGAGGGGCCTAGCATAGGGCCTGTCACACAGCGGCCTGTCAGGGCTTCACCACCTTTGTAACCTGTCCCCACCTCAAAGGGTGTAAGGGGTCCTGTGTCCCGCCCAGCTTGTTCAGATCCAGGGAGGTCTTGTGGCTGGGATTTGTTGGTAGGGGTGCTCCCTGAGGAGGAGGGGTGCTCGTGCGATCCCGAGGGGCCCCTGCGACTCCAGCTTTCCCTGACCAGAGGCAGGCACTCATGCCTAGTGGGATTTCTGCATTGCTTTACAGAAAATCTGGAAGAAAACATTCAGTCCATCGCAACCTACGTACTCCAAGCTCTCGGGACCGCTGTTGTGGTCCTGGGAGTCCTGGGAGCTGCCTACTACACCATTGAATCCTTGTGAGCGAGCCCAGCCCGTGGTCCGGCAGGTATGTGCACCCTGCATGCCCACTGCCCTTCCGGAAGGAGTCTGTAAGCCCCTGATACACCATCCCCATAGCTCAGTGCTCATGGAGGGGTCGACCCTTCTCTGAAAGGAAATGGTCCTTATAGATAGACCAAGCCTCCAGCCTCTCAGGAAAACGGGAGCCAGTAGGAAAACATGACACGCTTCTGAGCTCGGGGTTGTCTGGACGGCTCTCAGACAATGGCGGAGCCATTATGAGGATTATCAAGCGGGCCCCCCCCAAGCCCCACTGACCCAGTATCCTTGTCACAGATACTCTGCTTGCCACCAAGTCACCTCTAATTCAGGGCAACCTGTTTGTACAGGGAACAACTGTGTACCATAGGGTTTTCAGTAGGTTGACTTTATTATTTTGTGATTTGGGTGAAAGTTTACAGAGCAAATTCATCTTCCATACAGCAGTTCACATATACTTTGTCTCATGACATTAACTGCAATTTTCTACAATGCAACAGCTCCCCTCCCACTTCCTCCCCATAGTTACCTCTTTCCTGTGTCCCTTCCCTCCCATGCACTCCTGCTCCCCCAGCTGTCTCCCTGTGCATACACTGCCCTTCTATTCTCCCATGATTGATCTTTCCAAGGAGTGTATCTACCTAATGTAAATGTTCAGTTCCTATGCTTGTCTTTTGTTTGGCTGGAAGCCACAGAAGTGGGTTCAATTCCAGACCTGAAGGGCAACTAGGCGCCATAGTCTCAGTGGTTTCACCAGGCTCTATCAGACCAGCAAACCTGTTCCTATGCCTGTCTTTTGTTTGGCTGGAAGCCATAGGAGTGGGTTCAACTCCAGACCGGAAGGGCAGCTGGGGCCACAGTCTCAGGGGTTGATTTTTATGGAAGTCGATTCCCAGGCCTTTTTCCTGAGGTGACTGGGTGCACTAGGAACTCCAGATTCAGCAACTGAGCGTGTTACCCATTCATACCGGCCTGGGAGCCCTGAGCCCACTCAACACGCCTTTATTCCCCTGAGTGGTAACTGACAGGAGCTCTGGTAGCACTGTGGTTAAAGCATTGGGCTGCTGACCAACAGGTCAGCAATTGGAACCCACCCTCTGCAGGAGAAAGATGAGGAAGTCTGCTGCTGTAGAGATCACAGCCTTGGAGACCCTGGGGGCAGTTCCACTCTGTCCTCTAGGGGCGCTGTGGGTCAGAATGGACTCCAGGCAGTGGGTGTGGTTTGGGCTTTGCTTCTGTGATTGACAGCCT